AAAGCGTGGATCGTTTTGGGACAATAGGTTTTGTAGATGCTCGTCGGACATCATCATCATCTCTCCGTTGGTAATCTGTTTCAAAGTCATCTCGACTTTGAAAAGAAGACCCCGCCCGCGCTTTACCTTTGCCTTTGCGTGAAGTAGGACGAGTCGACGCAATCTCCCTCTTGCGGTTGCGTTGGAGATTACCCACATCAACAGAATGTCTACCACGCTCCATCTTTAAAATTGAACAAATATTAAATGATATCAAAAATTTTATATGAGTACAATAGTAATAATAAAATGTGACTAAAAAAACTATAGCAAATTCGAACTAAAATATGATTATAAAAATCGAACTACTTCTAATTAATACTTTAATGAGAAATGTAGCAACTAACTAATATGAGAAATGTAAAAATTAACTAGTTTTTTTTACTTTAATGAGCAATATAGCAATTAACTAATATTAATATACCAAATTTAACAATTAACTACTTTATCTAGTTTATAAAATGACAAATGTAAAAATTTACTAGTTCTTTTTACCTTAATGAGAAATGTATACTTTAACTAATATCACCTTATGACAAATGTAAAAATTTACTACCTTTTTTACTTTAATGAGAAATGTAGCAAGTAAGTAATATTAATATGAGAAATGTAACAATTAAGTAGTTTAACTAATATTATTATGACAAATGTAAAAATTAACTAGTTTTTTTTTTACTTTAATGAGCAATGTATCAATTAACTAATATTAATATGACAAATGAAACAATTAAGTACTTTAACTAATATTAATATGACAAATGTAAAAATGTACTACTTTAACTATTTTTTTTCTTTAAAGAGAAATGTAGAGAAATGTAGAGAAATGTAACAATTAACTAATTTAATAGATAAATGAGAAGTCTAACAATTAACTACTTTTATAAAATGTATGAATGTGTATAAGTATATATAGTATATATAATGTGTAAATATATTATAAGTAATATATAATATAATGTTTATAGTATATAATATATAAGTATATTACTATAAGATGAGTAATACACTTATACTTAATACTTTTATATATATATATACATATATATATATAAGTATATATTAACTAAATGTAATATGTAAATATAAGTAAATAACAATAGTATGGATACAAACTAAATATCAAATAAATATGAATGTGTATAAGTATATATAGTATATATAATGTGTAAATATATTATAAGTAATATATAATATAATGTTTATAGTATATAATATATAAGTATATTACTATAAGATGAGTAATACACTTATACTTAATACTTTAATATATATATATAAGTATATATTAACTAAATGTAATATATAAATATAAGTAAATAACAATAGTATGGATAATAACTAAATATCAAGTAAATATGAATGTGTATAGTATATATAGTATATATAATGTGTAAAGAATTATAATATGAATGTGTATAAGTATATATTTATAAGTAGATAATTAATATATAAGTAGATATAATAATTATATAAATTATATATATGTAGAAAGAATTTGGAGAAGATGAAGAATGAAGATGATTGAATATGAGAGATTGAGAGTAGAGAATTAGAGAGTAGGAAGAGTTGTAGAAGAAGAGGTGTAAAAATGTATAGAAAATAGGAGTATAAATAGGTTTTTTTTTGTATACCCCACCCCGACCCCACCCCCCTAACCCCCCAGACCCCCCCTCCTATGCTCCCAACGGCTATAGAGCCGTTTGGGAGCTCTCCCAACGGCTAGAAGCCCCTTTACAAATCAAAAAAAAAAATTAAAAATGACCGTTGGAGGCCCGAACCGGGCCCGGGCCGGTTCACTAAAATGGAGGCCCGGGCCCGGACCGCTATACCACCGGGCCGGGTGGCCCGAACCGGGCACAAACCGGTTCACCGGGCCGGTCCGGGCCCGCACAGTAGCGGGCCGGTTGGCCCGGCCCGAGTCCATCCTTACTATGAAGGTCTCATTTGTTTGGAGTTTTGCTAGGTGTACACAAAATGTGTATACTTGTCTGTCACAGACAACTTAATATGAGTTGTCCATGACAGACAACTTGTCTGCGAAGGACAGACAATTGTACAAAAAGGGTGTACACATTTTGTGTACACCACACATTTTTCGTTTGTTAGTGGCATAGAGCAGTTCTTGTCATTATTCATTTTTTTTACATAGTTCTATTTTATTACTTTTTTTTTTACATAAAGTAGTTCTTGTCGTTATTATTCCTTTTTACATAGTTCTATTTTACTCAACGCTGACATGCTATTACAACGCATAACTTTTTTTAAAAATGTTGGAAAAATCATGAAAATTTCGCTCATAAGTCGTGACAAACATCAGAGTGAGTCCTAAGCTCAATGACGGGAATGTAATAGTAATGGCATCGACTATGCATATGCAAAGTACGTTTCCACTTTTTATAAGTTTCATTAACTTGGAGAGGCGCCATTAGTCCTGGACTCGGGCCGGGTGGCCCGACTCGGAACCGGGACCGGTACTATACTGAACCGGCCCGGTGGCCCGGCCAGTGACCGGTCCGGGTAGGTTTGGGCCATTTGGGGTGATTTGGGGCCCCAATTGGGGGGTTGGGGGTGGGGGGTTAATTAGGAAAAGGAAAAAAAATTGACCCGAGGCCCGGGCCGGTCCTGGGCCCACCTATTCACAACCGGCGGCCCGCCCGGGCTTAGGCCCGGACCTGACCCGGCCTGAATCCACCCCTGATCGACATAATGAACACTAAAACAAAGATCCTTTGAGCAATCTTCAATGGCGCCCAGGGCTAGATTTGGGTTCGGCCGGGTCCGGGCTAGGCCTAGGCCCGGACGGGCCGCCGGTTCTGAATAGTTGGGCCCAGGACCGGCCCGGGTAGCTGCGGGGTCCGGTCCGGGTCTGGGCCTCGGGCCTCTTCATATATATTTGTTTTTTTTTTCTTTTTCTAATTAACCCCCCCCCCCCCCCCGGTCATCCCCCACCCCCCCCAAACCCCCCCAAAACACCTAGCCCAACCCGTTGGAATAAAAAAAATGAAAAAAAAAATTGATTTTGGCCCGAACCGGGCCCGGCCGGGTCTCATTTTGGCAGCACCGTGCCCAGAACCGTCTCCCCCTCGGGCCGGGTCAAAGCCCGGTACCCGGACCGGTGAACCGGGCCGGGCCGGGTGGCCCGACCCGAGTCCACCACTAATGTCAATAGATATATGTCTTTCAGGAATTCCTTACCTCTCCCTTGTTTGTTTAATCAAGCCTTAAAGAGTAGACATGAATTTATGACAATTAGACAAAGGCAACTTGGCTAGAGGTCCCTACATGTATTAGGTACAAGCCCACTATGTCAATCAGATTGGGATTAAATCCAAAAAAAAATTGTCTGACGGGTTCTAGTCTTCTAGAAGGGCCTCAGGAATCCAGTGGTATATTTTTTCTTAATTTGACCTTGGAAGTTGGAATGAGTTATGCTTGTATATGAAGTTATCTATCATTATTTCAGTATAAAAAATGCTCTTGTAAAATGTAAATCCCAACTCAACATGTTTAATGAGTAATACTAATATACTTCATATTTAACAAGAAAGAGTTGATTTTCTCACTCAACCATTATACACCGAGCCAGAAATTTTAACTGTAGCAATTACTTTGAAAAATCAAATTTAAACGAAACAAGATATACTGACATACAGGGTGGTTTTTTGTTCTAAAACTGTTAGGAATAATACATATTTGGCTGAAAATATAATAATGATTTAAAGAAGGGTACTTTGAAGAATCGAGTATTGGCCAGACCCACGTACAGGAATTACGGAAGCATACAGTGTTAAAACAAGGATAGGAGGCTCTCACAATTCTTTGGTCATGCTGGTAGTTTGAAATGGCTATATTTAAGGACCTTCAGTCAAAGAGGATCGACCATAGTGGCACCGTGGGTTCACAGAGGCCGCCTGATCATCGTCTGCTCCGCTATGGGTGTCAAGCCACTCACTTGAGACTCACCCTTTCATGTAAATCTCTTCTGTTTTAAACTGGTGCAGCCAATTATTAGTACTGAAATTAAAAGATGCTCTCTTTGATTCCTTGATACTTCCCAACTTCCCATTTGTGGTACCTGCCATGTTCGGTACTTGTCTTGGTGGTGAACTAAGGGTCTGTTTGGAAGTACAGTTCATAAGGATTTGGAAGACTTAGTCTACATCCTGATAAATAGAATGTTTCTTTAAACAAATAAAAAGCAAATAAAATACTACTCCATCCTACATGATCATTAACTGGAATAATATAACTATGTGTATATCAAACCATCCTAACAGAGTAACAGGATATAGACCAAGTTTAGTAACAGAATACCGTGGTTTACTAGTTACTACATACATGATCACAACCCATGTGTATAAAATCACAAATGCATATCAAGATATTGGACAAACATTCCCCTCCAAAAACCCATCCACACAGACCATAGAACGAAGTGGGAGATCAAACTATACCCCTGCTAAGTACTTGTGTGTTGAAGTCATATTTTTGTCATTTGGCAGTCGTTTCTTTACAATCAGCTCGGGGGGAAAGTAGAGGATGTGAGAAAACCTGTAATACATTGGAGTTTCTTTTGCGCTTCATGCCAGGGGGAGGGGGACATGGCTGGATCATATTATGTTTTGGTTCCTGTGTGTGTGGTTCAAGGATCAGCTTGTTCCAAAAGGTCAACCCATTTGAGAGAGGAAGATTTCTTAATACTTTTCCTGCAACTCTATGCTTATATATAACAAGCAATATCAACTCTTGGTAAATAATGGTAGAGTAGGGAAGAAGTCATAATGAAGTGTATCATCATTTCTGAAGCAGCAGAAATTTTGTTTACAGCCTGGGAAAGTAATCAATTAACTGTCTGATAAAGTTGAATTGTGAATCTATTATGAGGAAATTGGACAGGGAATAATAATAATAATAATAATAATAATAATAACAACAACAACAACGCAAATAATAAAACACCACAAAAATGAAACATATATTTGCATAAGGCCCGTTGTGTGAGTTACAATAACAATGCACCCATTCTTTCCTGGTAAAAAAGACAATAAATTTCAAACCTGTTAGGGTGCAGGTTACCAAACCAATGGCGCTATTCTGCAATTAACTCAAAAAATATTCTCAAAGTGGTGGAGCTTCCCAGAACCAGTGGAACATGTCACTTAATAGCAAAATAAATTAGAAGCCCTGAAAGGACTGGCAAATTACTAATCCCAAACATGTGTCTTTTCCTGGGAAACATTTGCAAAAGCCTATACAAACCTCATTATACACAGTCGTACATGCGCCTTCCTTTCTGTTATATATACACACAATAACTGGCAGGAGACAGCTTGATAATCTCCTCCCCAGACATACATCCTGCCCAACCACTAATCAGATCACCTTCCAAGACCAAGCCCTTCCACTTTTGAGCATTTCCCTTTTCCATTGTCACAGTTAAGGTAAAACAAATAGTATTACGAGAACCAGGGCATGTTTTATCCCCAAATCACCCATGGAATATCAGATGTGCATCTAATTTCCGCAACTACCCCTGATTCGCCACAAATTTCAATTTCTCTTCATGGAGTGTCCAGGAGTGGAGATGCCCCATAGAATCCCCACTCAACAGCTGTTTCAGATCACCAGTCAGGTGGAGGGCGGTAACAGCATGCTTATGGCACTTTAACACCCTGTGAAGTAATAATCTGTACTCGGGTTGGGATTTTTTATCATCTCCATCAAGCTTTAACCCAGCCATTGGGTTCCCATTCTGTTTACTCTGACTACACTCCTCACTCGAGCAATGTACCATTTTCCATACCTTAATCGCACCGCTCTGGTGCCCGGAGACGTACCAGTTGGTTTCCAGCCAGTCAGAACTCATATTACCAGAGAGGGAGAGGATAGAATCGGATGGAAGTTGTGAGGTATTGACCACAGCAAGGCAGTCCCCATTGACGCTCCAAACAGCCAGCAAAGTCCCGGCGGCTGTCACGATTTCCCCAGTCAGGTCGTTCACATAAATTGCAGAAACGGGGGAGGGGAATTCTGGAAGTTGCCGGACAAAAACCATGGAGCTAAGATCCCACACTATAACGGTACAATCGTCCGACCCGCTCACTATCATCATGTACGACTGGCTAACATGAAGGCAAGTGATTTTCCCAGTGTGTGCACAGAGTCCCTTCTCTAGCTGGAGTCGTCTCAGGGAACGGGGTCCCGCGTCTTTACATACTCTCCAAACGCATACCAACCCATCATCACCTCCTGTTGCCAGAAGCCGTCCGTCAAGGCTGGCACCGACACACTGTATTTGGTAGCCTGCATGGAGGTTTTCATGTGTAGAGAGAAGCCTGTCTTGATCATAGCTCATGAATCTCAAACTACGGTCAGGGAATCCCCACGAGACATACTTGGAATACGTTCTGGGTTTCATGAAGGTGTTCGAGCCGGCCACAAGGATTTTGTCATTGACAGTGACGATCTGAGATATAGAAGAAGCGGTCTTGCGGATCTCATGTGGAACAAGATGCAAAGAGTGTTTCAGTGGGTGTGGAGGAAGCTTTTTGTCGGACCGCCTCTTTACATGGGGTTTCAGGAACAGTTGCTTTGGTGTCTGACCAAAGTGATTGATTTGGGCAAGAATTGAAGCCTTCATTGCAGGATCCGTAACAGAGTCAATATCTACACTGCCTTCATATGTGTAGTGGTAGAAAACGTTTACAGCTTCCTCTGCAGCCTACCGAAAACAAATCATTGATTTAAGCCTTATGCAAGGCAGTGTTTGGATGCACAGCAATAGGGTGGATGAGCAGAGATAAGGACAAATAGTAAAGAAATGGCACAGGGCCCAAGTAAATGATTTACACCCTTAAAGGACGAGGATAAAGGGAAATGCAAATTTCTCAAGAATGACTTAAAAGGTAACAAAGAAGAAGACAGGAACAGAACTCCTACTATCAGCTGTCAGCTGTCAGCTGCTATTCCCCATAATGTAAGATGCATGTTGTGCGCAGATTTTAGAAAATAAAGAGATGGAGATATGGTTGTAGTTCTACCATTTTGACCTTTCAGAGAGATGATATGTTATATGGTGCACACAAAAAGTAAAGAGTTAGTTAAGTATACTAGGAAAGTGATTTATTTTGGGGGTGGCCTAAAAGTAATGCGTATCTGACATGATGCACAGAAGTAGCATATAGTATAATAGTACCAAGTAAAACATGTTATCCCAAGGAACACTCTATATTTTCTTTTTTACACCTCATAATATAATGGTGAGAGAAGTTAAACTTACCTTCCCTCTCTGTTTACAACCAAAGATTAGGTCAATCCAGTGGTGCAAATTTTCAGAAACAAAATCAGACTCCAGAGCTTCTCGATGCCTCCTGATGAACTCTTTAGCACTTCCTTTGGCCCATGGAGGTAAAACAACATCACCTACCTGACAATAGAAAACACACCATTAGTGTACGAAGATATTAGGATCTAAATATGTAGAGACTCTGAAAAGGGAAATAAATTCACACCTTTTCCCCTGATTGTTTTTCTCCCAACTCAAGATTGAACCTGTTCTCTAGGAATTCCGGCAAATAGAAGAATTCTGGAATCAGTTCCTTAACATCTGATGTGTTTCCTTTCCCAGCAGCACTTAACCAGGTATCTCTTATACTGTTAAAGAGGCGGTCAGCATGATCAAACTGTCCACCCTGAAGCTTTTGATTCTCGGAACTAAAAGGTGGAAGTCGGATGAGATAGAAAAGAACAATTCCAGCACTAGAATAATGAGAACCATAATGGAACTTGGGAACCTCAGGATCATCCCAACTTTCATATCTGAGAGTAGACAAATAAATAATTAAATGAAAATAAGAATATCTTTCATGAATATGGAAAAATATGGAAGTGCTTGGCCTACCTTCTCCTGAACTCCTCTTCACCTTCTCCTGTTTGACAACCAATTGGTTGAGAAAGCCTCCGAAAAGTTTTGGGGTTTGACAAGTCAAGACTCTCACTCTCATAATCAGCAAGAACCCAAGGGAACACAGGATACTGGGTAATGTCACTGTACCCACGACCTGCGAGAGTGTTCAGATGCATGAGGTACTGGAAATTGCTTATCTCTCCATTCTGCCACCTCTTTGAGAATGATTTGGCCATAACCTTAAAGAGGCGACTGCCTTCATTGCTTTCCTGCTTCACTGAACCTGAAATGGTGGTGTCCAACCTGTTTGACCAATGTACGAATATTATGGAACTTGAAATATTGGGTGCAGGTTTGGAAGTCAACAGAAATCAGGTATGATGAGGATTGTAAGATATCCAACAGTTGCAAATTCTACAAGTTTTTAGAAGATTGAAGACAAATGACATGCATAATCCAAAAGCGCGTTAACATCTCAACAATAACATTCCATCAAATCTTCATCCACTGAGAAGAATAGCATCCTAGTAATGTGAATATGGCATAGACAATGACAAAATAGCAATAGTTATTTATACTCATCTTCCAATTATATTAACTGTGTACAGTGCGGGATAAAGAACATAGTTACTTCCAGTTTTGTCAGATGATTATACCATTTTTTCACTTTTGATCTTAAAAGTCCAAAATCAACCATCGTGGTTCTCGCTATACCAATTATAGTTCTTCAAGGTCTCACGGACCAAAAGTTATGCCAGATTTAATCCCAGATTAGGACAGGAAGTGACCAAAGTTTAAAGTCAAGTACAAAATCTAGTCAAGTTTAATGTTAATGATAAGAAGTCAAAAACACAATAACCAAAGAACTAAAATTGAATTTAACTCTCATTTATTATCCTGAACCAATGAAGGTAGTGGCTAAATAAACAAAACATCATTCCATTTGATTAGAGCTGGCCACCTAGCATTACGCAAAATTTTGAAACAATGGGATGAGATTTGGCATCTGGCGTCTTTAAACTCAAAACAATACTTATATACAGGAGAACTTTCTCAAAGAATTAGCATGACAAAACAATTTTAAATTTCATGTTGGTGGGTATTTTTGAAAATTTAGTATTAAAATTATTTTACATTTTGAGAATAGCTACTTCCACTACACCCACCCCAAACATGAAAATGTGACCACGTCCAAAAAAACATCCTCCTATATGGGGTAGAAATTGATCCGTCTGATGACTCCTGCATGACATTCTTAAATCACACATAAATGTACAATGCACATGATCAGCAGTTGAATGCTAAAAGCAGAGAGCAGAAAACTGGAGTAAGGCAGTGAACAACGTACATGCTAGTTCGTGGAAGATTCATGGCAACTAAATTTTTGAAAACTTCCTCTCTTTCCCTTTTGTGGAAAACCAGAAGGTCATTGCAACCATCCATACTAAAAATCTCAACTGCAACAGGGCGAAGTTGGTAATCCCGCTTCAAAATTTCATGGACATTATCAAGCTTCCACATTCGCCAAGGATGGGGCACATTGCCATTACTACAAACTTTTTCCTTCCCCCAGGCACCGCCATTGTATGCCCATGCCCTACCCCCAACATAAGTCTTAGCTGTTACAGCCCAAGAAGAACTTGACTTCGAATGTGAATCCATACCACAAGAAAAATCTTTCTTTACACCTAGAGCTTGATCAATGACTGAAAGATCATCCTCACTCTGTTTTTCACATATACACCCAGATTCATCAATATAAAAGTTCTCAATGACGTAGAGTGATAGTTCGCCAATCAGAAAAATGCCATCATGTTTATCAAGACCTACTACTCTTTCACAGTTATATTTGTACCTTATCTTCTCAAGAGGTGTCAAGTATGGTCTGATCAAATATTCACCATTATCATTTAATTCCTTTTCAATTTTTTCCCCTGACAACCTAACTTCGTCAGTTTTTACTGACGAAGACTGCCTTGGAGATCCAAGTTCGGATCTCCCCTGTACACTCTCAGCTTTTCGAATGGAAGCAGTACTGGATTTCAAGCCAAAATCTGCAGCAGAGCTCAGACTTGCTTCATTAACACTGCTATCAGTGTCATTCCACCCAGCTTTACTGGAAGCTGCATCCTTGAACTCGTCGGTCTCTTTGAAGACTGACCCATCATAAACATCACTACCAAAGGTATCCTGTTGAGGGTTATCAGTCAGAAGATTGAAGAAGTAATCAGACTCAACATCAGAAGCGTTCAGGTCAGTCTCAGTCTTGTCCTTGGACAATTCTATCTTCCCCAACTCAAATTGTCCTTTAAGAACATTCTGGATGGTTTCTATTTTTAGTTTGCAGCGCTCAAGCTTCTTGCGCTTCCTATATGGACCTTCAATGGGGCAAAGTTGCCACTCAGGTTCATCACCAGAGAACAAATTTGTCACTGGGAATATTCCTCGCTCATGTACAAGTTGTTGCAGGTGACTTTGCCACTCACTTTCAGCATGCATTACCCAACCATACTTATCCTGGCGAATAACTCTTAGTTCAGTAGCCATTGCATCACGAACTAATTCAAGTGCAATTCTTCGTTCATTGATCTGATCCCAGTGCTTAGCATCTAATTTTGCGTTGTCTTTCAATTTCTTTCCCATCTCTTTCTTACGACGACTGTCTATGCCTTTAATCCTCACTCCAGGGAACTTTGTTGACCCTGTGATATACTGAGCCCACATCAGGGCAGCAGACTGTTCCAGAATTCTATTAACTTCTTGCTCAGAACTATGAAGCCACTCAAAAAATGCAGACAAGTTTCCGGTCAACAGCTTGTCAAAACCACCACGAAGAACGTCATAAGAAGATCTGTGGTTTGGTTTAGAAGCAAGCAAGTCTTCAAGTGCAGCCCTGCGGTGCACTAAAAGATATTTAAGAATATCAATGGCCATGGTTTGTACATTGCGCCTATGATCGTGGAGAAGATAAATTAGGTTTATGCAAAGGCAGCAATTTATATCAGTGTCATTGTTGCTGGGACAGAATATTATCCGCCTGTTTGCAACTAGCAGTTGCAACACTGTGGAAATATCAACTCCATTATCTTCTGATGATGAGTTCATAGGAACTCTGTTCTTGGACTCAATTTGTAAGTGTGAACATGAGAGTAGTTCATCTTCTCCTATGTTTATCAAGAATGTAGGAAGAAAGCAAAAGGCAATCATCCGGTTTGTATTTTTCAAAATTGCAAGTATATAGGCATCAAGTTGCCTGTTTCCTCTTCCAATAGATAAGTACCCTTTTCCAGTTGGCGCAGCTTCTTCAACACGGCCATCTTTGTTTGCTAACTGTAGCATAGACAACAAGAACTCAAGAGTTTTCAGAACGCTAGCAGAACGAGGGAAAGCACCCATATATGCTCTGTCTGCTATCATCCAACATAATGCATCTAGATTCATAGACCAACGGCTCTTATCCAGCTTTTTATTATTTTCCTCATCATCACGCAAGAGCCGCCTTTCGAGGAAGTTCATCAATCTGATGAGCACCAATCCCTGGAAGGTTAAAATAGATTCAACATCAATATATAATGGAGCATTCTCAAGGATGCTCTCAATGGTGGGCACAGCTTTCATTTGCTCAGTTAACAACCCAGATAAAACTTCTGCCATGAAGTCTAAAACAGCAGCTGCTGCTGCAGAGCATGGACCACCACCATAGCCTGAATCATCCACTTCCAAGAGCAGTTTTGAGCTGATGGCGAACATTGAATTGGTAGAATAATGTCCTTGAGAACCCGACTTTGTGTCGGCTGAGGAATCAATGTCGCTAAAGGATGCATAAGACGCCATAGATGGGGTGGAAGCAATTGGGCCTTTATTATCATTGTTGTGGTTAGCACCACCCAACCAAGATGTCAATGCAACCACTGGTGATGAATAAGTTGCTAGTGGGGTCTTAGAATAAGACTTCTCAGAAAACATAGGAGATCCGGTGTTTGTAAAGGATGCAGAACTCTGTGAATATGATTGTGCAATAGGATCAAGAGAGATCTTTGTATCGCGGAAGTTAAACTCATTGCTGCTAGTTATGGAGGTAAGGTCAACCACTTCACCATCCAGAATTGCACTAACTTGTGCATCCTCATTTGCTTCTTTCTTCAAATCCTTCTGACAAGAAGAAATAGCGACCTCTCCAATATCACCAGTAACACTGTTTGGCATTGCTGACATGTCTTCAGAACTGGAGCTCACTTGTCCCGGGGGAAAGCTTCCCATACTTATGGAGGTTTTGGCTGATTGTTCCTGTTCATGTGGTGCACTTGAAAATGTATTCTGGGAGCTACAAGTTTCATCAGCATCATCAAGTGCCTTTTCTTCAACAGTAACAGAGAGTTGTCTTGCCATTTTCACAGCATGAGCAGCCCTACACAAAATTCATCTGGTGATTTAAAACATAGAACAAGTAGCGTCCAGTCATAAAGATTAAACAAGCACACAAAGAATTTAAGAAAAACTTTTCATAACATACCTGACACAAGAAAAATACAAGTCAATACAGATTTCAAGAAACTCAGCTCGTCGAGAAACTGCGGAGAACGGAGGGCACATCTTTGCCAGATCAACCATGAATCTGAGAACTGAAGTAGCAGCAGCAGGGGCTGAAGCCTCTCCCCCCATTAAGCGCGCAGCATAAGTTTTGTGCACCAGAGCTTCACCTTGAAGCTCCCCTGACCAATCTGTATATTCATCTGCAAGCTCTGCCGCAATGCCAGCACTGATTTGGGAAAGACTGCCTGTTTGATGGGCTAGCATTGACTGCATACACAGCCTATCAAAAGTTGCCCTTGCCATGGCAACCACCGATTCCAACAGCTCTGTAAATTTCAGCTCTCCATAATTTCCATCGCCAGGCATGAGGGCATGAAAGTCCAGCATGCGAACTTCAGGGAGCCTTGGATATACTGGTTTGTCAAATATCAGACAGAACAGAATATAATATATATCAGGGGAATCATAGAAACTTGGAAGCACCCTTGCCAAACCTTGGTATCCTCCACTTGACCGAAATTTAAGTGCAAAGGTAGGAGAAGATACAAGACACACCCCAAGAAGAGTCATTATCCATCTCATACTAGTAGGATGAACAGCTTCATCAAGAAAGTAAGTTATTAATTTTGAGGAAACAATTTTGTGCCACTGCTCAAGCAACTCCTCCGATTTGATGGTCACCTGTAGATCAATAAGCATCTCAAGCAGCATGTTTCTAACAATAATGTGCTTCCCCATAGACTCTCGGTTGACTTGACTGCGCGAAAAAAGGTCTGGGGGGTCAAATGTCATAATCACAAATCTAACCACTTGTTCCAATTCAGATGGAAGAAACCCGTCTTCTAAAATCACACCTAATAATACAACAAACTTCTCTAGGACAGGAACTTCAACATCACCTCTTTGCAAAGTCACGAGCAAGTGTTGAACAAGGTTAATTCTACGGAGAATTGTCAGGTTGTGATTCCTGTACCAGTGCATCGAAACCAAGTTTTCAAGAAAGCCCAGTAAAGAAATTTGAATAGGAATTGAGGCTGTTACCCATACAGTCCAGTCCAACAAGACATGCTCAACCATGTCAGCATTTGAAAGGACGATGCAATTAGAAGTTTCATTTGGCATATCAGTATTCTCAAGCTCTGAAATATGACTGAATGAATCCTTTTGGGCAGAAAAGTCATCCACATCTCCTTGGGATCCTACTGAAGAAAATTCCTCCCTGAACTTTGACAAGTTAAGGTCATCCATGTCGCCTTCACTAATAGTTGGTGTAGTTGGTAGAATCTTATGAGTAGTCCCCAATTTTTTGGGTTCAGAGAAAGATGCCTCACAAGCAGCAATTTGGAAAAAGATCTCGAGTGACTGCATATCGAACAATGACATTCTTCTGTGCATGAAAAGAGCAAGCAGATGGTATCCTCTAAATTGCTGCATATCTCTCGCGTTCTGAGGGTTCTGATGAAGTGTGCATGCGAGTAACATCAAAGCCATATGCAGCATGTCCCTAGATTCAGCAGCCTCAACAAGAGCTAAAACAACAGCAATGCCACCAATTGGGCGAATAGTCTCTCCAATGACGCAACGTTTACACATATGGACATCACCAATCAGTCGCCCAAAACGGGGAATACCTTGGAGGGATCAAGAAGAAACAGGAAAATATAGTTCAAGTCAGTGAAAACTGTAAATACTGTAGTGATTTGATTTTTCAATTTTCAGATATGGCACCAGTTTGAAGAACATAAACATAAGAAATTATTTACTCACCCCCAATTGGAGATGCAGAAGCTGACATAGGATCAACTAGATTGAGCAAGGACAGAGTTCCAGAAGCACGTTGAAGTTCCGAGCTTGTTCCTTCAAATGAAAATATGAGCTTTTTGCCAGAAAGCTGTAGTGAGAGGTTACTTAATTTTTCAAAATCCCAAACAATACCACTTCGATCAGCATTGGAACTCCTTTGCTTGCCAGCATTGTCAGCCTTCTGTGTTGTGGATGTCAATGGCATATCAGTTTCCAGTGAATCTAAAATGGCCATACTACCCCCACCACAGGCTTGATTAGGAACAAATTGCAGCAAATCAGTGTCCTGGAATAGCCCCCTATATCCTCTTCCCAGAATGTACATAAAACAGATGGAACCAGGTGAAAGAACCTCTTCAAAAAGATAACAGGATCTAAGTTTCCATGACAAGTCACTAACCCGTGCACAAGTAACAGGTGTTCCAATGATGACTTGCAGAGACTTTCCGGGTGGAGATGGAGAATATCCTAGTCTCCCTGTGTGTCTTAGTTTCCCGTTAAGGTATACATAAGCAATGCTAGACTGGAAGAGGCCGGCCAAAGCATTAGGTTTGCTATGCACAATAGCTAGGTGATGCCACCTACCTTCCTCCATTTCTGACCCCGAAAATGATAACGATGAAGAGTTACTAGTGGCAAGAGTAAGAACACCATCTTCTTGAAGACGGATTTCTGCATAGAAAGCATTAGAACTCTCTACATCTCCAACAGAAAATATCCGCAAAACATGTGGTCCGCGATTTTGTCCACTGGCTACAGTCTGCTTTTTATAATATCCAGTTCGAGATGTTTCGGCTTCCCTTGTCTGTGTTTTGTAAAAGTTTCGGAACTGAAGCCAACATACAAATGAGTATCCAGCAGCAGGTGGCCAAGATCTTTCACCCAGTGGAACTTGAATTGAAGCATGCCCTGCCTTCCTCATGTCCATCTCTATAAATGGTGCCAGAGAAACATCATCTGAAGCAACATCCTCCTTGAGAATCAATTGTTCCATCATATCTATGAGAAAGTGGCCGGAAGTAGCAAGTCTCATCTGTAGAATATATCTAACAAGAACTCGAAGTTCAGATGTTGATAACCTGTAACAAGAAAGCGCATAGTTCATCTTACCAGGAATGAACTTTTAGAATATTTAATGCATCTGTTGACATCAAAGAGGAGTTCTAGACTAGATAGACAAGGTTACCTATATGCCCCAAGGACTTCTATGATTTTCAGAGCACATGATAGTAGCGGTGATGAGCCCGATAGGAAGGGATATATCATCTCAAGAAGAAGTTCCACACATCCTGCTATCACCACAACACCAATCATCAAGCATTATCCTTAAAATTAGGTTTATAATACAAAAAGGAAATAGTAATACTAATTATTGGATTCGCACCTACAGATGTTAGGTTTTCTTGGTTGAAGGCACTTGCACGAGCAAGCTTATCAAGGATGCTTAATACATCTAATTGCAACTTTGGAGTAAACATCAATAGATTGCGTAAAATCACTCTAACAGCACCAGCATTATAAACCCGTTCATTATCAGGAACAAAAGAGCCAGAAGATGAAACAAGAAAAGAAGCCGATTCATTTTCATCCGCGCACGGCAACGTGCCATCTTCGGATATCAGAAATGGTGGAAGCACTAATTCAAGAGCAAGTTCCAATAACAGCTGTATAACTTGCCTTTCACAACTGACACAAATTAGACCAGACTCCAAGAGAAGATCATAAAAAGTATGAGAAGATACAATAGCATGCAACTTTGCCCTGTTAACAGCATTGTCACTAACAGCTGCTGTCATTACACGTAGTAAATATGTAAACACCTTGATGTAGCTGGTTGAAGAAGACTTGTTTTCTAGTTCTCCACCAGTTTGGAAACTATGGAGGGTGGTCAATAGTAGAGAAAAACCAGTTGCTTCACCAAAGACCCTCTGAGCTGAACTATTAACCCCTAGAATGCGCCACAAAGCTCCAAATATGTCACATTTAGCATCATCTTGAATTCTATATTGAGATCCCAATGCATTTGTAACAATTCCACTTTTTAAAATGTCAACCATTGCACCCAACTCCTCCGGATGAGACTAAAATTATAAAATAAAAAAGGAATTATACCACGTTTGGCACTTAAAAGTATGTGCTGGAGAAAGCACAAGCTGTATTAGAAATTAAGCTTTATTGCCCACACATTACAGGAAACTTTCTGAAATTGCTCAAGGATGTGGTTGGATCCCGGAAAGTTCTAGGAAAGTAAAGAAATGCTAAAAGCAATTTTTTTTCTTGTGTTTTGTTTACCTGGGGAAATGCAAGTAAAAGGAAATGTGATGTTTTTTTTAAAACTTTAGATATGTTTGAATTGCTTAATATTTTCATAATATAAAGAAAGAAATAAAAGTAAAATCGAACAAAAATGAAAATGAAATTATTGAGATTGAACCAATATTTTATTTCCTCAACTTTTTCTTTCCTTTCAATTTCTCCTATACTTTTCTTTCCCTAATTTTTTCTGCATTCCTAACGGGCCCTAGAGGAATCCAGGTGAGGTATGCTACCAGTTATACGTAGTATACGTTCAATTATACTAACAACCTAGGGTCATGTGGCCAACCCTTGCACAAAAGTGAGATTCCTGTTGACCAATATAGTAGAAGAGCTTTGGTTCCCATTGAGCAAGGTCGTGTAGCCAACCCTTGTGACTAGACTGATAAGTATATAAAAAGCTAGCCTCCCATATGAAATACAAGTATACAACAATTATTGGACTCTGAATTAGTCAGAGCCTAATGCAGTTACCAAAATTTCGAAGAATCTCCAACTACAAGTGCATCACATTTACCATGGAAAACTAGTGTTATAGATCTCATTATGGCCCTTCAGTTACCTCCAAGTGTATAAAAAGAGTAATTTCATACTCGTATGTGCCTTTCAAGTTTTTCAAAAGAACCAATATGGTGCAAACAAGGAAATGGATTCAGCTGCATGGAAATCAATTAGTAGGGTAACGAATTATATGGCTTTGCTTTAAAACACTAGCAACTCTCGTACTACGTCAGCACAAGAGTACACACCACAATTACATACTTTTTACTAAAAAAAAAATATCAATTAGTTAACCATGGTAGCCTCTGCTGCCAGATCAGCCCTGAGAACAGCAAAATTATTTGTTTTAAGACAAAACACAATAGCTCAATTATTTAAATTTTTAAACATGACCTACTTCCTGCTTTTACACCTCCAATAAGTCTTATGAACCCTCGTTAGAGGAGGCAAGCATGCTTAACTGTGATCCATATTTTGAGAGTTTAATATCTGCCTAGGGCAAGACAAGTACACAATTAATATCAACCATAGTAATAGTGAAATATGGCGAGAATGGCCATATTTAGAGTCAAAAGCTAGATTAGAAGAAGCATACCTGTGAACCATCTTCAATAATTAAGCATGACAAAGCTCGAAGAACACCTGGGCGATGGATATCAAATACCAAGAAAGGAAGTACAGTGGTCACACCATTAGATGATCGAAATGTAGCCTGATTTGCTTCTGCTTTCTTTAGTAAGGAGACCATACAGTCCCATGCAATTGTTATTGTGATTTCTACTTCAAAAATAGGGAATTTTCCCGAACCCGATTCCAACAACTTTGGGGAAGATAGGATTACATCCTTGCTGTCAAGATGTTTCTTGAAGCCACTTGGGTTTAATTTCTTTTCCATCTGATTAGGCTCACCATCGTACTGCTGGGGACCAGAAAGTAATTTGTGATGCTTAAGATCATCTAGAAGAACCTCCAAAACACCAACCTCTCTCAGTACTTTCTTGTACTGTTGATCAAATGATAGAAGTTTTACAAAGAAAGATAAAATAGTGTGCTTCAAGTCAGATGTTATTGGTTGTTGCAGCAGACAACAAAGTGAAAGCAACTCCTGTTCAGGTATGCAATTCACCACAGTCACTGCATATTCAAGAATTTTCAAAATTATCTCTTGAAAAGTTGGAGGAAATCCATCCATGTTGAGGATAAGTAGGGGCACAGTCCGCAACTGCTGACACAACTTGTAATTTTCAATATGGCTCGAAAATATTCTAAACATCCTGTTAAGTACTTCAGCTTGAAGTTCTCTGCTATCAGCTTTCAGAAAGATATCCTGCAACATTTGGACAGCTTCAAGGTCCTTAACTTTGTCATTTTCCTTCTCCCAAATTTCATCAGTTATTCGGTCAGATGATGAAGTTCGACTTCTGCCATGCCCACTAGGCTTAGCATAAGCACCTTTTGAAGTTTTTAAAGTCGGACCAGTTTGAGAAAGAGAAACAAGAGCATCAAGTAGCCTAGATAGTACAGGGGATAGATTCTCTGGTGAAGTTTCTGCTCCCTTTTGCATCATTGCATTGCTGTGAGCAGCAGTAGCTCCATGATCATCATCTGAAGCAGGTTCTTGACATGGAGGAGATTCTAAAAAGGAAGTCTGCCCACTTTGATCCTTGCAAAGTACTAAAGCAAACTGAACTAAGAATTGATAACCATGCGCATTGTGTATATCCTCCCTAAGCCTAATACCACTGGCATCTGCAAGTCAAAGTTGATTGGAACTCAGCACCAACCATTGCAAAGGAAGGTTCTAAATTGTGTATAGGGTATTGCATAGTCGTGGCTTTTTTTCATTGCTTATTGCATAAGCCTCATTGCGCAATGAGGTGTATGCTTAAGGCGTAATCATATTCACATGTGTGTACATGTATGTTTATATACATATAAAGATATATATATACACACGTATATAGGGTGTGGTTCCAATGAGAACGATGCTTAACGTGAGAACATTGACGTTTAAATCAATGTGGTGCACAAATGAGCACTTTTGTTGCACATTTTCAATTTGCTCGAATTAATCCTTTATTAAATAAACACGGTGGCATTTTGGTAAATATTGTGAAAACGCGAAAAAGTGCAATATAAAAGCTTCATTGTGCAACGCGTTGGGGTAAATGTGGTGTTCTCACGTTAAGCACTGTTCTCATTTGATCTTTATTCTATATATATATATATAGATATATATATATATATATATATAGAGAGAGAGAGAGAGCAGTATTCCTGTTCGGCCCGGACAGGAGGGTGGTCTAGTCACCTCAATTTGAGGTGGTTCCCGGTGGTATTTTTTGCTAAATTTTTTTATGTATGTTCTTCATCAAATCTAGTTCATCCATTTCATCCATACCAAATTTGAGCAAAAAATTCAATCGGGAAGGCAGTCAACTGGTTTTTGGAAGTTAACTGCGCCGGAATATACATATAAAACGCAGTTATCTTTCAAAAATCATTTGACTGCCTTTCCGATTGAATACTTTGCTCAAATTTGGTATGGATGAACTAGACTTGATGAAAAACATACAAAAAAAAAACAGTAAAAAATACCACCGGGAACCACCTCAAATTGAGGTGGCTGGATGGACGGGGTCCTGTCCGAACCGGCTGGACATGAATAATTGTGTATATATATACATACTAAAATATATATATTCATCAAAAGTCATCAAATGTCATATTAAAACAAATTACAATGATCCTAGAGCAAAGTAATACATTCAAAGTTCAAAACTTCAAACCATACAATAGCAAAAAAGTCTAAACCTTTCATCAAAACAACTTTCCTAACATATTAAAATTTAATGTTTATTAGATTGATGACTGAAATATCGAATCATCACTATCAAATGGTTTGTATTAGGAATCATAGCCGATGAGCATTTTAATTAAAAAAATTAAAAGTGGGCCCAAATGGTGCCCTTACACCCTGGCCTCCTATTGTGTACGACTGTACGCGTCGCAGCACCTTATTGTGTATGCAATATTGTGTACGCCTTACTCCAGTATTGCGTACACGGTACACCACACTCTGAGCACCACAGGCAATGCCTTTTTACGCCAGTCCAGGAATTAGCTGAGGCATGCCATGAGGCGCAACTGTATTGCACAATTACAAACAATGTTGCAAAGAAATGTAATGGTGTAAGATAAGTTTGTATTTAGCATAATTATGGCAATATAGTGCTATTCAATAACAGCACAAAGTTTCTGGCTTTATCTTTTGATCAAAGTGAATGGAAGAGAAGGAATCATTTATTCTTATCGAGTGAGAGTGAAAGTGAGTGAGAGAGAGGGAGAGGGAGGAGAAGCAGAAGACAAAAGAAGACATAAAGATGAAAGAACCATTCACCTGGTTTATATGACAATCCAACACATTCAAGAAGTAAGTCAACTATGCCCATTGTGTAGGCTGAATCTCCACACTCAGGATTAAAATCCTTCACAGCCATTAGCAGTACTTTTATCTATTACATATAAAGTCATAATCATCAGCATGACAGAATGGGTACATGAAATGTAAAAAATCCTACATTTTGAGAAGTGACACATAGAGCACAAATATCAGTCTAAAGTCAAAGACCTATGATACAACAAGTTCTGCTTAAAAATCCACTAAGTATTTTCATCCAACATTGAATTGAAAAAGTGATGTATCAAAATACAAAGAAACAGGGCAGTCGTGATTTGGCAGGTTGGCCCTAACTATTTTATTAAATATCTATGTAGCAGGATTGCAGGAATTCATCTAATAAACAATGAATTTTAGGATTTGATGCCACATTGTCTTCCTCTGATTACTTAGTTCCATATTGTACTGAGTAGAGTGTTATGTGCTTAAAAAACACAGCTGAAATTTATATCTGTCTGTGCGTTCGCCCAGGCACTCATGTTCCCAATTTCTAACAGAGGCATAAAAGTTAAGTGAACTGCCAGTGCCCAATTGTGACATGGCTTGATATGAAACTAAAAATCCAAGTGAAATGATTTCATAGTAAAATATAATCACAGTTAAGGTGAAGCAATCAAAGAAAATTATATCTTGTTGATACTAAAAATCCAAGTTAAATGATTTCACAGTAAAATATATTCGCAGTTAAGGTGAAGCAATGAAAGAAAATTATATCTCGTTAACTTAAAATCTTGTGCTCAATCTCCATGGTGTAAAAGATGAGGCAAAGGGAACAGAGGATGATAGTTAGCTAAATGATTCAAGAAAAACTAGCATACCAGATGATGCTTGCGAATGTACTTGGCAGTGCTGCCATTGTCGTTGGCCAAGAGAAGACCAAGTATCTGAATCAAGAATCAAACATAAGAACATCTTCTAGTCAAAAATTTAGTTCAGCTTAACAGTGAACTAAATACCTGCATTGCATGTCTGTGGAGCTGAATAGTGTGCAATCGCACAAGGCCTTCTTTGTACTGAGAAAAGGCAATTAAAGAGCCCATAGCAACCGTTTGAAAGAGTAATTGAAGAGAGTTGTCCTCTATCAAACTTTGTGCAGCTGAAGGATGGCTTGACAGTGCCTTCATTATATGTACAACACTACCCTCTACCTACATTAGCAAAACAAGCACATTTATATTTCAAATTCCAGAAACCCTTCACAACACTTGGAAGCGCTAACATATAAACCTCCAAGATCAGTGATTTAGCACAAGTAACTTGTGAACTCTAATCAACTTCTCCGACCCAAGTACTCATCACCAACCCCCATCCCAAAATGAAAAGAAAAATGAATGATCCTCACTATACTGCCATGTGTCTTCTTTAAATCATTACAAATACATTATGAACCCCAAAAGTTCAGCATCTTCAGCTGCTCAGTTGTAAGATTAGCTGAGTTGAAACTTATCTACCGCCACTAGTGGGCCAAAAATTTTGTAACTAGTGTCAAGACCAATCTTCGCATTAAGGTCTAAAAGATAAATGAGCAAGAAATAAATAACTTTTGCCTCCACCCAAGGTTACTGCCTACTGTGAATGGGAATGGAGGATAAGAAATACAACTTTGTGGTCGAGTTTTATTTAGAAGAAAGAGAAATATTGTGAGTCCATGACTCGAAGAATGAAAAAATTGGTGCAGGTAGATAATCAGTATTCTACTTTTATGGATATAATGATATATTGATACATAATCAGTATATTGGTCACCAAATATAAAAATGTGAATATTTTACATAGTATAAAATTTAGAAAATAGAGATCAAATTTAGAGTTTATGTATCAAATCTTAAATTTAAGTTCAACTTTACAACGTTTAGTTATGATAAATAACATTAATTTCCAATAGAGTAATAATAAAATATATCTGAACGTCTTACAAAGATCTAATAAAAGCACAAAATTACCTAATTATAACATCAATTCTACATTCATCACCGACGTACCGATATTTGTCTGATTTTTTATTTGAATAAGCATGAGAGAACAAGCAAGTAGTAAGCTACCTCAAGCCGACGACGTGATGCAGCCTCGTCATCAGGACTTTTCTCTGCCAGAACTTGCTCTGTAATATGGCCCACAGATTGTTTTTGGCAACTCTCATCAGGACCAAGAAGAGAATTGAGCGTATGAATGAGACAGCACAAGATGCCAGAATCAAGAAGAGATTGTTTATCAATAGGCTGTACAAAATTGACCACCCGTTATATTTGGAATAGAAATGCACACATACTACAATATTAATCAACTCATTACAAACACTAGACGTGGTGGGACAAAACTCTGACTGTGTGCCTGCATCATTAGATTCATTACTGTTTCCCTAATTCCAACTATGTTATAGTCAGCAATAAAAGTTTATGCAAAAATCATCATGGCAAATTCATTGCCGGATGTCCTTTCAATCGCAAGCTTTTTACGAAGGACGGAAGGAATAATGAAAAAAATCCAGATCTGTGATCATGATAGCTCTGACTTTGTGCTTTCTAAGTGAATCCATGAAGGCAAACCTTCTCAAAATAAATAATGCTACGTAATAAAAAGTTCTTCTAGTTACATCTGCTTTTTAACTGATGGATATAGAAAGGCAGGAGTATTTACCCCAGAAACAAGGACCTCGACTGCATATAATAAATTTGCACCAGGGCGGATCCCATCCTGTAGTTTAATTAATATAATCATAAATCCCACGACAGAAAATAGTATTGAGTACACCATAGTCCACTAAGAAGAATCAAAGACTGTCAACACATATATATTAAAGAACCTTAGTGATTTCTGAGAAAAATTGCAAGACTTTCTCTACTTCCAAAGACCTTGTTTTGCTGCTAAGTTTCAACTTTTCAATATCCGTTACAAATGCTCTTCCAATAACAAAAGAAAATATGTGTGTTTCAACTAACCTGTATAACAAGAAGTGTTCACAGTTAGTGAACGCATCCTCACTGTGAGATAAGTACGAAAAGAAAGAAAAAGTCCTTCGATTGTTCAGAGTTACATAACATATTGTTAGCAGGAAAACTCAAATTTTATATTTTAAGAGCAACTGTCTATGCATAAACCAAGACCTCAGTCCCAATTTAGATGGTCAGCTGGTTAGAAAGACAATTACTCCTAATGTGAGAACCATGATGGCAGTATACTTGACACAATACAAGAAAACAGATGTAAGCAAACAATGCAACATGCAGGAAAAATAAAATAATCCCTTACATGGTAACTATTTGAGCTACATTTGCGTGTTGCCTTACTAGTCTACAGAAAACATCGATGGTCAAATTCAGGGCCTTTTCTTTCTCCTGCAAAAAAGAATGAAAAATAGATAAATGGTAACTTATTTCGATGAATAAAGTAAGAAAGTTTAAAAAAAATTGATACACAAACATAGAGAAACCTTTTCCAAACTTGAGGAGCGAAACTCCTCCCAATATCTCTTGAAGTCCAGTTCCAATTCATGTTTGTCTCTGCTTTCATGAGAAGAACAAAAGTATAAATACAATACATAGAACTATAGAAGTACAAGATAGAACCGCTGCATTAGAGAGTTTAATTAATATTTGCCAATGTAGTGCTGCAAGTAAATTTCTTCACAAAGAAAGGAGTACAAAATTAAAGAATCTCGACTACATAGACATTCACAGACAAGCATGAAACTTCCAAGTAGATTTGCAAAAAAATGACCTGATAGATTGAAACGCTATACAATTCAGTACCATAGTAATTTCAATGAATATGATGGTATGGAAATCAGAAAAAAATAACTCCCAGCCGTCATTTTATGTCCTTATGCCCCTTTTTCCATCATTTGCAATGGAGCGAAAGACTCACTATCTTATGGCTTGGAAATATGATGGAATAAAGCAAAGTGATTTACTCAACAATCTGCAATTAGTACAGGGGTAAGACTGCATACATCCAACCCCCCTTACCCCACCGAAGGTGTGGGAGGCTTTGCGGCACTGGGGTAATGATGATGATGTCCTTATGCCCCCATTTTCACATTTCCTGGTGATGATAACCAGTTTACCACTATTTTATTTTAACATATCTAAACAGAATGGTCATTTTCTTTCAATTGTCAACCCAACAACAAAAACAACATCCCAGCCTTAATCCTGTAAGAGTTTGGGGTTGGCTAACACGAACTGACACATGAAATAGGAGCTAAAAAGATAAGAAAGATAACAAAGATAAAATAAAGATAAATATAAGATAATCATTTTCTTTCCATTGTCAACCCATTGCAACAAAAAAAAATAAGCCTGAAACTGAGATTTAGCTCAAATACTAGGAATAACCACAGCTAAATTTAAAAACACAGCTTTAGATGAGGTGAGAAAGATTGCAATTTGGTGAAGTTTCATTACAAATGACCGTCTATACCTTATTTTTTCACTTAACATTAGGGAAATCAACACCAGTAAATGTTGTGAAACTTAGCAGCAACTTAGTAAGAGCACAGGAAAATGCGTAGACATAAAACGTTGCATTGTCAGAGAGTGCTACTGTACCTCGAAGGAGATGAGGCAAAGTCGAGTTGGTCGCTGGAAGAAGTAGCATAGCTGTCGGGAAAGGAGGAAGTAGCAGCATAGGAAGGCGATGAGACAGTGGAAGGAGGCTGGGAGATGCCGACCTTTTCCTTAAAGTCTTTAAGCAATGTGGCCCATTTCATCGTTCTCCCAGACGATTTCCCAAACATACAAGGCCCTCTCTCATCAGACGACCGATGACTTCAACTGGAAGCAGATCCGATCCCTTCTAGACAGGTCTAGAAGGACTCTGAGCTCAAACTATAAAAAACCAACGATCCTCTGTTCCTATATCAACGATATGATTCACTGAAATGCGCAGAAAACAACAAAGAAATTGAATGGAAGCAGCAAGATCCGAACTTTTTGATTAATATTCAACCAGGTCTTTGATTTTTGCTATTGCTCGGATGATCTAGCTTTTTTAGTATACTGGTCCTGTATTTCCCTGAAGATATCGGCAAATCTAACCCTAGGACGAGAGAAGAAAAGAAAATGCGACGACAAATTCCGTTTGGCTTTCGGGCGGGGTGATCTCCGCGCCTTGTTTCTCGGTCTAAAGTCTGCAAGTCTCTTTTGGGAAATGGATGAATCTGGGTTGGGTGGGTCTAAAATTTGTAAACATACTCATTACGCCCTATTATACGGAGTATTAGTTTATAAACCTCTGAGCAGGGCTTAAAATCTCACCGGCACCATGTCAGCGTGGGATCCACCGCCTACCAAGTCATCCCTCCCCAACGCGGATAGACGACGGCTTATCTAACGTGATACCCTCGACTCTACGCACCCTCAATCTATTTATGATATACGGAGACACGGAGTACCTTCCATTTCATACGAGTATCATTTTGCGAAAAATGATTGCTATGTAAAATAAGGGAATTACCAAGAACAAAATTGACTGCTACATAGAATAATACTCCCTCCATCCCGTTGGAATGTTCTCGGTTTGACCTACACACATATTAAGGAAATAAACTTAACAGGGAGTAAATTTTACTGTTTTGACACTGTTTGGCACTGTTTTACACTGTTTTGCACTGTTTGACACTGTTTTGATGTAGGCTAACTTTCCATTTAGAGAAATGAGAACTTCTTTTTGGGACGTCCAAAAAAGGAAAGCGGGAACATTCCAACGGGACGGAGGAAGTAAAGTTTTATTTAAAATAGAAAATAACTAGATTAGTGAGATGATAAAAAAAAAAGTTGACAAAGTTATAAGGAACGGAAAGATATTTCTTAGTACTTTCTCAGTCTCTATTTGAATTGGATAAGTTTGACTAGGGGTGGATGGTCCGATCAGATTATGGCTTGTTTGCAATCACTTAAGAAAAGTGATTTTGGCTCTTTTTAAGAAAAAAAGCACTTATTTTACCAAACACTACCAACTTTTATTTTCTCGACTTCCGTGTAGAATCTACTTTTTACTTTTTCTATTACACAAAAAGCACTTATTTTACCAAACACTACCAACTTTCACTACTAATCACTTTTTCCCAAAAAGTGTTTTTATTTGAGCACAAGTGGTTGCAAACAAAGCCTATGTGTATGCTAAATTCGAAAATTATGTTTTAAGATAATTTTAACATTTTTCATTTTGAAATTTCAAAGTTGAGGAAGTAAATAATACCTAAAATGCCTCCAATACCCTTATTTATTTTATTTATAATCCACCACTCACTTTTGGTTTGTTATCTTTTTTAATTCTTCCACGTACTCACCAGGTCAGCCACCGCCCACAGCTATTTACTTTCTTTATTACGATATCCTCCTTCACTTTTTCAATCTCATCTTTATTTTTCTGATTTTTACTCCATTGTCTCCCTATGTTATTTATTTTACCAATTTGTTGTTCGCTATTCGCAAAATGGAAGACTTGAGCGGTGATGAAGTTCTTGTTATTGCTCCCCATCAACCTACAAGTTTAGATTTGGAGGATGATGATGCTATGTCTCATGTTCTTGTGTCAAGAAATTAGTTGTTAAAGACAATGGAGAATACGGGATGAGACCCTTGATGCCATCAAATGGTGAAGGAGAGGTTCCATTCAAGTTTGCACGTAATTAATGAGGAGAAGGTTTTATCCCCGAACTTTTGATTACCAGGAAAGGCATGTGGTGAATTTGCTTCGTAATCCATACATGGATGAAGTCCTACTCTATAATTTGGTTAATACTTTATCATTTTATAGTAATTTAGTTATTGGAATGCTTATCATCAGTGATAGTTTATGTATAGGAGTGGTTTTAATGTGTATAATTTGTGTATAGATGTGTAATAATTTGTGTTGAATACATGTTCTTTAAGCATATGCATGTGTTTTAATTTAATGAAACTGGTCAGAATGTTTGCTTGGAGTTTGAAATGTAAATAGTTGGTTTATTGGAGTGTTTGTGTATGTATATTTTTGTTATGGGAGTGTAGAATGTAATCAATTGATGTGAACCAACTCTTCAAGCTAAACAAACATGAGCGAAAAAAATAGTTTATGCCTCGAAAAAAAAAGCAGATCTTAACACTAATATCTTTCACAAAATAGTTTATGCCCAATATATCATTAACAAAAAGGATGGCCCCTAGAACATATCTTTCACAAAATTGACAACTTGCACACTATCTTCTTTATAAAAAGTGATGACAACAGAGACATCATACCGTTTACAAAGACATAATGTTTGTACATCATATTGCTTACAAAAGAGGCCACTTTTATAACCAATGTACATACCTTTAGTGTAAATTTTAATTAAGTGCAGGCATCTTGTTTGGTCCTACACTTGTACTTAACTGAATTTGAGCATCTATAATGTACTGTCTGGCCTCAAAATTAAATTTTTAATGTTTGTTGGTAGTACTCCCTAAGTCATCCATTTTTCTTTTTCTATGTGAGGGTTCTCATAATTATTACCACCTTGAACTCTTAACACTTATATCATAATAATGCACTGAAAATGCAACCAAGTGTAATTTAATAGCTTTGGTTCAAAAGTATAGTGTGCATCTTGGACTGCATTACTGGTTCACTCACATCCCTATGAAAAGCTTTGTACTAGATAGACTGAATATCTCTATAAACCAAAATCAAGTATATTCAAATTTATATTTTGGGCTGGCTGGCTGAACAATCTAATATTGAACTCAAAAGGTGTAACACCCTTAGTAAATTGCTCATCATGAACACTTATATGGGTATTGCATTGTCTGGTTGAATTCAAATATCTTCTCTTGCATTAGATGGTCAATTTTCTTTTATTGTAGGTGGGACTGAACAGGTCAATTCTGATCAAATAATTTCCTTTGTCACATTTTGTATCAATTGTGTTTCTGGATGGCCATTGAGTTTATTTGTTGAGTTTTGTGTACATAAATCACTTCAGTGAATGGGGAAATATCAAAATTTTCATCCCATATTACTTCACATTGAACTGGACCATGCAGTCAAGCCACGACGGCCAAAACATTATGTTACATTGCCTATAATTTTGTTTTTGTTTTGGCGACTTGTATATGGATCGTACTCCAAATGAAATAGATATAACCTTTGGGTTTGTTATGACATATAGAATCATTTGTCATCAATGTGAACCATGTTATATTTTTAACCGAATGTAAAAAGTTTGTAGGGAAATTGGCATAAACCGTATGGTTGTCATTTGTTGAAAGGGATACAACTTGAAGCATGCATGAATGAAACATATTTGGTTTCCTTCCCATCTTGCCTCTTTTCTTTCTTATTACATTAACCGATGTGGTAGTGCACAATTGTAGCTTTGTTGCTGACCAGGGTCTCTAGAGCGTAGTTATATTTACTTTGAACAATGCTGCAATATGTGAAATTACTTCTCTGGGTAAGCTTTGACCAGCAGCTGGTATCATAAGTTTCTCCATAAGGTGTTTTGTTTGACTATTTTTCATCTTTGATTTCTTTCTGCCTAGTGATCTAAAACTATTGCATCCATAACCTATTTGTGATGGTTCATCCTCTTCACTTTCAGTTTCGGAGAAGAAAGATGAAAATATTTCAGCGGCTGGGACGAAATCACCATCACAAGTACACCTTCGCTCTCTAGTTGAAGAAACTCTACTATATATATATATATATACATATAGGGAGCTCTTCCGGTAAGGTATACCTTACCGGAGCCTCCGTGCGGCCTCCACGTTTTGAGGGTCTTCCCGGTGGAAATTTTCGATGAAATTTTTTGAACATGTTCGTCATCACGTCTAGTACATCCATACCAAATTTCAGCAAAAAATTCAATCGGGAAGGCAGTCAAATGATTTTTGGAAGATAACTGCACCCTTTATATACATATAAAACGCAGTTATCTTCCAAAAATCGTTTGGCTGCCTTCCCGATTGAATTTTTTGCTGAAATTTGGTATGGATGTACTAGACTTGATGACGAACATGCTCAAAAAAATTCATCTAAAAATTCCACCGGGAAGGCCCTTAAAACACGGAGGCCGCACGGCGGCTCCGGTAAGGTATACCTTACCGGAAAGATTTCCATATATATATATATATATATATATATATATATATATATATAAGCTCTTTCATTAATGATGTGCACCACTCTCATTTTGTTATTTGTGAAGAGTGCTAGATTTATTTTTTGACTTTATGGTAGAATATGGTGGGAAACTAATTTTTGTGGCTAAATTGTACTTGGAGGGGAAATAATGTTTTTGGACTTTTTACAACTTCTTTGCAAGTATTTTTAACGAAAAAAAACTCCCTTCCAAGTGGACTAGTAACTTTATTTTATTTGGACCATAACGAGCATGTAGGCTATTCAGTTTTTCCATATTTCTTAATTTCTTCGCCCAACTTCATGTTGCACTTATTACAGAACATAGGAAGTATGTGAGATTTTAGGTTATGAGAATCAAGAGTTCCAAGCACCAAACTCTCTCATAATATATTAATTTTGCGCATTAGAAACTTGTGATATGAAAAATGTGTCAAACAATCATGTGTTATGATTAATCACGCACAACTTTCTGAATCAACAAATTTAACAATTTGAGAAACACAAGTTTTAACATTATGTTGATTGAATACACAAGTAAACTTGGCAAGATAATAGGAAAATACTGACCATCTTTCAGTTACTCCCTCAGTCCCGCTAAGATTGTCTCCGACACTATTCACTTGGTCAACACAAATCACTCTTAATCTCTTACTTTATATAATAATTTTTTTTCTCAAATTTGATTTTGGTTTTTGCAACTTTGTAAAGTTCTTAATGTAATTTATGGATATATAAATTATTTTTTCCAAAAAAAATTTGAGTGCGGACATGGATCTGTTTGCTTTATTGTCGGTCAAGCATCGTAAACCGTATTGTCCCAAACATAGTGGGACGGAGGTAGTATTTGGTAATTAAATTTGGTCTTGAAGAGGGTTTGACTTGTGATTAATTATAACACATGAAGATTTGATGCATTTTTTAGACCACAGTGGGCTAATGTGAACAACTCATTGAAGGCCCATCAATCTCAGTCGGATTTTTTAGTAAACCGAGTTCAATTCAAATTTGGGTTGGATCAATTAAAGCCCCAATGAGAAATCATCATATTGTCGTTCTGTGTTCTAAAGTATATATATTCAAATAAAATTACTCACAAATATAAATCACGTGCAATAACCAAAATCACCAACAATTCAAATTCAAGCAGCATAGTTTATTTATATTTATGTTGTGTTTAAGATACATATGAATAGACAGTATTGATATATTATATTGACTTTTTGAATAAGGG